AAAGTTTTTTTCGCGGACAAGTATTTCATGTTGCGATTATTCACATTCGGCAAGAAATACACAGAACAAGTCGTCAACGAAGGCAAACCATAGTGATAGATACAGATTAAATAAACTTATCTTGTTTAACAATCAATGAAGTTGTTATAAATATATGTTTAATACGTTAAGATAAAGAATTACTTTTATTATATAAACATAAGTGTGATATAGAGTTTTTGGCCACTGAGAAAAATCGTATTTAAACACACGTAAAAAATACGATATTTTTACGTGTGAAAATATCATTTATTGTAAAACGCATTGCCACGGACGTTTTATTGTTTTCACTGAATTTTGTTTATATAATAAACAGAAAAATACATGGGTGCTTGGAAATACCAGATTTATTTCTCGTGTTGAACATGATATCTCACTCGTTCGCTGCGCTCACTCGTGAGATATCATGTTTAACACTCGAAATAAATCTGGTATTTCCGCGCACCCATGTATTATTCTCTATATATATATATATATATATATATATATATATATATATATATATATATATATATATATATATATATATATATATATATATATATATATATATATATATATATATATATATATATATATATATATATACAGGGACGCCGGAACGATAATAGGGCAAAGGGGGGCGGACGCACACCAAGGGCACCTTTACTGAAAAAATTTTTTTCACTGCAAAATTTTTTGGCGACCTCCCCCCCCCGTCGCCAAAAAAATTTCGGTCAGTGTACCATTTTAGGGGTCAAAAATTTTTTCCGGACATACAAAAATTTTCCGTGAAGCCAAAAAATTTTCCGGATATCTTAAATTTTCGCCATTTCTTCAAAATATTTTTCTAAATTCCAAAAATTTCCCAAAATTTTATAAATATAAACTATAAATTACCTGAATCTCATGATTTTCCTACAAAAAGCATCGTTGGAAATGCGATTTATCACGTATTATTTTACAACTAAAAGGGCACTTCTGCCCCCCCTGCCCCCCTAGCAAAAGGCAAGGGGGGCAGCCGCCCCCCTGCCCCCCCAGTTCCGGCGTCCCTGATAAAGGCTAACTATTCCCGATCGTCGATCCGACGGCACGGCACTTCGAATCGAAAATTTTCACACTCAAATCGCTTTATTCTCCAAAACAATTCGCCAGCATGTACAACAAATGCCGTTCTTCGAAAATACGGAGGTACTTCGGCGAGATGTACAAGTTTTGGACCATATTTTAACAATGGAAATCAAAACCAATTTTCTATTGAACTTGCCCAGGCCGAAAATTACTACGGCGAACGTCTGCGCAACCAGGCCTTCTTTACCGTTGGATTTACAGGGGGGAGGATGCCACTAATATATTTATGATAATATTTCGAATTAAAGTATCATATTCTACCACGCTTTCCAACAAAGAGCCGCTGTTTAATGCTTTAATGCTTTAATGAAATACTCCTAAAACAGTATTATACTACACTAGGAGGAGTTATATATACTGAAAAACTAGATAATATTTATTTACAAGAAATTAGTCTTCATAATCACTGTATGACACATATATTAGGCAGAGATTATAGAATGTGTTGTTATATGTTATATATTACTTCTTCCTTAAATTTCTTCAATCTCCGTCGTTTAGTTTTCTTTTCTTCGACAACATCTCGAGTTTTATATCCGATCGAAGGAGTTTTTATTTTGAATATCAAGTTTCAAATAATGTAAACAGTCGCTATTGCGGCCGCGATTGGCTGGCTGTTACCGGAAATATCTGCTTCCCCCCCTGTAAATCCAACGGTAAAGAAGGCCTGGTTGCGCAGACGTTCGCCGTAGTAATTTTCGGCCTGGGCAAGTTCAATAGAAAATGGTTTTGATTTCCATTGTTAAAATATGGTCCAAAACTTGTACATCTCGCCGAAGTACCTCCGTATTTTCGAAGAACGGCATTTATTGTACATGCTGGCGAATTGTTTTGGAGAATAAAGCGATTTGAGTGTGAAAATTTTCGATTCGAAGTGCCGCGCCGTCGGATCGACGATCGGGAATAGTTAGCCTTTATCATGTTTCATGTATACTAGTAACATCGAGTACAAAGTCTCGGAAAATATTAGTCCAACAAAGGAGGAATAAAAGGGGAACACACACTATCAAATAGGCAAGTCGATTTTATTTTAAAATTTATATTTTATGACATATTTTTACTATAATACAGGCATTACTATAATATACATTTATACTATAAGTCTATACTGACCCTTGCGAGATTGGGCCCCTGTGCTGTACTGTAATAGTTTGTATACAATACTCGTATTTGACCTTTTATACTGTCGTACTTAACACTACGTATACCATAAATTCTGACAGGAGAGTTAAATGTAAATTTTAAAGCACATATATATTATACTCATTCTTGAGGAGATTATATTTATCAGTAAAAGGTAAAGTACGATGTATACAAACACTAACAGTACATGTCGAAGCGCCTTCGCACGAAATGTCGAAGTTCTCCTTGTACTTTTCAGGTAGTTGTATCCCTATCAATCCGAAGCTTTCCCCCAGAATTTTTAGTTGTTTTCAATTCGATTTCAGTGTAGAAAGTATCAAATTTTCGACGAGAAATTCTAAATACTTTGTTTATATTTTGCAACAATTGCCGAGCATGCGTAGAACTCACGTTGGAAATCCAACGTGAATCAATTCGATTTCTCCAGAGCTATGCCCACCCTTAACCTGCGAACGGGCATGCTCGGGGAACGAGATTGAGGTCTAGGCTGAAAGTTGCCTAATATTGAAATTGGCCCATAGCAACCACCTTAGCAACCAAATGCTGTGGTTAAATCACTGGGTTAAATCGATGTTATGCCTCGTTATTGCTGACGAAAATAGTCTACTTTTGTACCTGCTTACCCCTCTCATAATACTCTTGTATTTGAAGCCAGTATAACGTATCTTAAATGAAGTACAATGTCTATTTTGTCTCGATGTTTTAAATGGAAGTTTTTCTTACAACGCCATCTTGAATAGAACGTTTCAGTGATTTTTTGATAACTAATTGTGATTTACTTCTTTGAAAATGCCTAAGCAACGTTCTGGTTATTCAAAGAATCGTAAATTTAGTGGAAATCGGTTCAATGTAAACTCAGAAGTTTGAAAACGGGCGAAACATCTGATCTAGAAAGAAGCGTAAAATTTATACACTTTATGCCTCTAGCTAAGTAATTTTTAGGTTCACATCATAGATAGGTCTATTTTGTATTAATTAAAGCTGTTTGGGAGATCATGGGTAGTTTACTTTGACTCCTATCATTTTTGGCGCAAACGCCATATTTTACCCTATAGGGGGTCCTATCTTGGTTACCATGGCAACAAAAAATGTATAAGTGCGTGATTTTGAGTCGGCCACCCATATTCTATAATATTTGAATAAAAAATGAGGAAAAAGTATTAAATTAGGAAAAAAAGTTTTCAATGTATAAGACCACCATTAAGTAAAGTGCGTTAAAAGCCAAAATATCGGCCATCTTGAATAGTCTTTATTGCCATAGCAACAGTGGTGACGTCACCTTTGTAACCAATTTTCAACTCTTTGTTTGTTGCTGCATATGTGGTGTACAATTTTTGATTTGTAGCGAACAACATCTCTTCAAATTGATCTAATTTATGTATTTTCAACATTTCCATAAAGTAAATTATAATTAATATACGCCCGCACTGTTACGCATAACACGTTGTTCTTATGAACATATAATGTGAATATATAATAAAGCCGGTTTTCCACTAGCGAATTTTTTCGCGCGAAGCGACCTTTTTCCTTGGTCGGTATCCATTTTGCCACGTCTTGCTGATGTAATAAGTGATACCGACAAAAGAGAAAGGTCGCTTCGCGCGAGAAAATTCGCTAGTGGAAAACCGGCTTAAAGCTCGAGCTAGCAACGAGGCGTTCGCAGTCAGCTGCTTCGAGCTTCCCACTCATGCTCCCTCGCCTTTGTGGTCGGTTTTGCTTTTCTCGCTGCATAGCACGTTGGATTCCGGAACCGGTTCGAGGGTTTTTTCCGATGCGAATCGTGCTCTTTCCTTTAGTGTAGGTTCATTTCCTGGTTTCATACGAGTGACAAGTCGCGATTGGGGATGGATGAGGTGCCATTGGTTGCTAAGGATCTCAATAATCGTTATGCTGGTGACGGTGCTTAATTAGTTGTGTGCATCTTAACCAGCTACCCAAGCTCTCAATTTCTGGCTCTCAATTTCTGGTGGGAGGCACTGCTGAAAAATTGGCCGGTCGCAGCCCTGGAAAATTGTCAAAAATACGTTCTTCTAGACCGTGAAGAATATTAGATTTACCCTTTTAATATTTCTTAAAACTTTAAAGTAAGCATAGAAAATCATCTTTTCAGCTATAAATGAACTTAACCAAACATGGGAGCCACAGCAAATATAATCTGATTGTTAATTAATAGTTTATACAAAAATGGAATCACCGTTTTAAAGTAAACCAAGGGTCAAGTAGCTTCGGCAAAAAATGATTAAAGTCAGAAAGAACAAATTTTGTGGGTTTGGGGGGGGGATGATTTCAATTTTATTTTCCCCTTTTATTTCCCGCTTACAGCTACCGATTTCATCTCTATCGGCGATGCGGGCAAACTTAGTTAAGAGTAGAAACAGTAATAGTCATTGTATCCCTTGTGTCATGTTGATTAATATTGTATTCAATGTTAATAGATAATAACAAGTGATAAGTTTAGGGATAATAAATGGAAAGGAAGTAAAATAAATTAGACACAATATGAACTTGCACAATTCAGTTTATTTACTTGCTTAATACTTACTGCAACTAATAAATACAATATTTAAATGAGTTCTGAATGTTTGTCATAACTCACGCATAAATAAATTAAATATAGGATATAAATGAATAAAAATATATCCATAAATGTAATCAATAATTCATACAAGTTCCATTTACGAGTTTCGACCCAACATTTTTTTCCTGTCCTGCATGCATCTAGTCGAAGATGACAACTTTACAACCGACAATAATTGTATCAGTTTTCATCTTTGGCGTCCCTGGGCCTGGAATACGTAGTTTTATCTTTTGTGTTATTTGTCTGCATTCAAAGATGTTTGTCACGACCGTCGAACAACGATTATGTGCCTTTGCGGTATTGAGTTCACATGGCGCCGTTTTGTTCTTTATTTCTTGGGTATACTCCGTGAAATTGCCCTGCTTGTTGCGATACCTACTTCTTACAATGATTGATGTCATTCCTGTTGCATTTTGGGTACACATTTCACTCTCGAGTCGCTGACGCTTTGTCAGTTCAATTAGGTCGCTGTTAAAAGAAAGGTGCTATGCATATTAAGTTAAACGTTGTTCAGATACATAGAAACCACCAAATAGTCGAAGTAATGATTTATAGTCTAAACCTGCTGCTTAATTTTTTACGTACGCGTTTACACAAGAAACACTTCAAACGGAAAAAGATATCCACTCATTACGATATATAGCCTAAGAGAAGTGTTGCAGCGCCGAAATGCCTTTAACACTTCAATACTTCAATTTTTAGTCAAGTAAGCGATCAGGAACGCTTCAAAACAAGTAGTTAAAAAGTAATTAAGGATTTTTTATACATGCAACCAAACCCTGAGAATAGTTTTTCAGAGGTTACAGGTTTTCATGCTATTTAAGTTTTTAATTATTTAAATTGTCAGTCAACAACAACAAGGAATTTCGTTCTCGGCCAAACAATGCATTTGTTCACATTTTCGCTCTAAGCCAATCAGAATGCGTAATTGGTCACTACTTCCGGTAAAAACACACATTTGAACAGAAATTCATTGGATTTAACATGACAAGATAAAATAAGAAATTTCCTAAAAATTTGCCACTGGGATTTGCGTTTTATTGCCTAATTTTAAAGTTATCGGCATTCGAATAGCGACGTATAAAAAGCGGGTAAGTTCGAATGCCGATAATTTTAGAACTAGGCAATAAAATGCAAATTTTTAGAAAATTTCTTATTTTACCTTGTTGAATCCAATCAAAAAATTAAAAATCCTAAACCCCTCAAAGCTTTATTTAAGACCCTATATTTTCTGTTCAAATGTGTGTTTTTACAGGAAGTGAGCTTTCTGTGCTTGCAGGGAAACTACCTACAATAACCAATTACGCATCTTGATTGGCTTAGAGCGAAATTGTCAACAAATGAGCTGATTGGTCGAGAACGAAACCCCCTTGTTTCAGTCAACACTTTATAAATGTTTTCTCTGTAGGATACACCATGAGTCAAACCCATAGATATCTTATATACACTAGATAGCGCATCTCTTTTAGTAAAATTGAAGCCAAGAATATTCCAGCGGGTATATTATAGATGGCTGCCATGTTGAAGTTTCCCACACGCTAATAAACGCTTAAAAACAACAATAACTTTCATCATTTGAATAATCATGTTTTGCTCGCTACTCTGGTTTAAATAAATGATTACAAAGCCCAGTCGAATTGTAATCAAGACCCAACGTTTCGACAGTCCAGTCTAGTGTCTTCATCAGGGGTGATCTAAAATTGCAATCGTGGCTTCTTAATACCCAAGGGATGACGTCACCTGCCAATGAGATGCATATATTCCTCTGGCAAATAGGCACCGTCATCCCTATTCAAAGCATGATTACTCATATTCATATGCCACGCTTCTAGGCAAAGTCTTTGCCATAGCGATTGATTGATTGATGTTTGATCAGGGGCGTAGGAACGGGGGGGGGGGGTGGCACGGGGGGCATGTGCCCCCAAATTTTTTCAAAGGACTAAAAGTGCCCTTTTTTGTGATGAAAAGTGCCCTTTTTTGTGATGAAAAGTGCCCTTTTTGTACAAGCTAATGTGGCTGTAAATACTAAATTAACATTAAAGGTGCCCTTTTTGTTTGGAAATTTCCAAGTTTTTTTAAAAAATTTGGTCAAAAACGTGCAATTTCGGTACGGTACGACGGGAAAATTCTCCCCCCCCCCCGTCGCCAACATTTCCGGGAAAAATTTTTTTGGTGCCCTTTTCAATACCCTTAAGTGCCCCTAGGAGCCGGTGCCCCCCCCCCAATCTTTTGATGTTTCCTACGCCTCTGTTTTTGACCATAGCGATTGTTTGCTTAGAAGCGTGGCATATAAATATGAGTAATCATGCTTTGAATAGGGATGACGGTGCCTATTTGCCAGATGAATCACGGCTTCAATTTTTGAATTGCAGACTAATTAGATGCACTATCTAGTGTATATAAGATATCTATGGTCAAACCTCATGCATCGTGTGCCGAACCTAATTGTAAATGACTTCAACTCATTATTTGTAATTTGAGCTAATAATTTACATTTTGTTTGGCGCATGAAAAGTTTGACGCATGAAGTCGGCCTCAAAAGTCACTGTTCACAAACAAGTTTACACTATTATACTGGATTTACTCAATCATAAAATACCTGTAATCATTCCAAAAGAAATGATCGAATTTTCGTGCATCTGCAAAGATGAAACATCCAACAACGAGCAGAAATATCTATAAACAAAAACGTTATGATTTATATTTTTGAATTATGAAATGGCTTCCTGCTCGCTTAATTTTCACGAGATGCCTCGTTTTATCTTACATGAATTTACGATCATTATAATCCTGGATTTAAAACACTTGGAGTGAAATAAGGAACCGAAGGTGCAAAAAAAAGTGCGTCATCTTAACCTATATTTAGTTTAAATGCTGCATGGTTACTTACCAATCTGATTTATTTTTTCTACACAACTGGAAATTCGAAAATATTGATACATTGTATTCAGCAATTAGGACAATTACGTTCAGAAGCAAACTTATCAATTAATTTGTTAAAGCTTGAAAAAACGTCTAAGTTTAAAAACAACAGCTTCGACCAAGCTTGAAAGTATTCAAATCCAATTTAGTTTGCCAATCTCTTAGTTATGTAATGTTTAATCCATTTAATAGACAACGTTAAGCTACAGTCTATACCTTAAACATCATCTTGGCGGCGTTTTATGGATGGCTTTTCAATATATCTTCTTGCCTTCTTCTTCAACTGGATTCAATGTAGCAGTCTTGTGATAACAAAACCAAGTTGACTCGCCCTTTTTATATGTTCAACACACGCGGATACAGATTCAAGATGGGTGCACCTGCAGACGGTGGGTGCATGATACTACAAAAGGTGGGTGGAGTATATATCAATGGATGTGCAGTAAAGTTCTCTGTTGAAAGGTTTTTTGTAGCTAGAATTTCGAATGTATGTTTTTGACTTGACCAGGAGCAGCTGGGAAGCGATATCACTATATCAGTTTTATATTGTCCGAGGGCGATATTCTTGTGCCTTTATCAGGGTGAAAATTTATTAGAAATTATTTATTGCACGCAACAGATTGATCAGTGACAACTCTCCTTCGCAGAACGTCTAATTGAACACGAAAGCTAGCTATATTCGGAAAATTTTTCCCGATGCCTCATAATTTGCGGGTATATATAGCTAGCCCGCGTGTTTAACATTTTTTTATGACTTTGAAATATGAATCACTTTATTTTTGACAAAAACATTAAAGAATGGCACGCTCATTCTGATGATTTAAAAATTGAAAATGGAAAAACTCACGTCATTTTTCATTTTTTTAAAAAGGAAAAATAGTTTTTATCAAAAATAATTCTTAAAATATGACTCTCATATTTCAAAATCGTAAAAAAAGAATGACCCTGAGATCCACAGATTCACAAGTATGAGATAAACAATATTCCTGCAATTGGGCCTATAGATTATATAGTTGCAATGTATATAACAATTTATATATATATATATATATATATATATATATATATATATATATATATATATATATATATATATATATATATATATATATATATATATATATATATAGAATTTCGCTTACCTCAAAATTCCGCAACAGTCTGTTTCATCAGTAAAGAATCACCGCCTGATGATTCTTTACTGATGAAACAGACTGTTGCGGAATTTTGAGGTAAGCGAAATTCTACATTTGCTCTATCTTTATGATATTGAGCACTCTTTGCGTTTCGTATACACAAACCTACTCGTATATATATATATATATATATATATATATGTTATATATTTAAATACGAATGTTATATATATATATATATATATATATATATATATATATATATATATATATATATATATATATATATATATATATATATATATATATATATATACAATGTACTTAAAGGTTTAAGGATGTATATAAATTGCTGAAAAATGTATTTCAAAAACTCATTAATAATTCATGAGGAAAACACAAAGAAAAATAATAAGCGTGTCGTATCTATATATGTGTTAGAGATTTCCCTTGATTTACATAAACTTTAGATACTAGATCGATCGTTTTTGAAGCAATAAATTTAAAACATTCGCAGTGCGTAAAGATACTCTGCTTCGCCTCGTATCTTTATATCTAATAAAACACTGCTGCCCATTTATTAAACAGTGATAAATGTCTTAAAATGTATATATAGGTCTAGCAATGAACGTAAAGGTTTAAAGATGTATATAAAGGTCTCATGTTAA